TTTCAGTATGAAAGAGGGCATAGACTTGGTGAGATGCAACAGCTCAGTTGACAGATAGTTTAAGATATTACCATGTTAGCGCAATCATTTGCAGCTATGTGAACACATCTGCAGTGATCTATGTAGAGTACACCAACTTGCTTTACCATGCTGTTGCTTTATAGGCATACCTTAGACAAAGTGGATGCTGCTTTCTTCATACACATAGACCTTCAATTTAATTAATGCTCACAATAAAGGTGGATAAAGGATTCTAACAGAAATAGTGTTTGAGAGTCAGTAACTTATGTCATGTTTGGTTGCTATCTTACCACCTACCATAAATGTTATTTATAGTAATAATATAAACAAGTCCATTCAGGAGAAAAAACAAGTCTGAGCAGGGAAAAAAAGTAAAGAGTATTAGCTAGCAATCAAATCCATCTTCCTGACTAAAAGGCTAGTCAAGTGACAGCTGTCACTAAAATCATCCTATACAGATACTTCCATCTAATGCTGGTTTTCTTAAGACTTTATGCCGTTAAAAAAATCCAACAAAACTACATGTATGGCCAAAGGCATGGGCGTGTCAGTTCTTGCACTAATCTGCCATACCTGAGCTTAAGTGCATATGATAACCTTTGTAGTGTATGTGTTAATACACAGAAAATATATATTCCAATTACCATTTGGCTTCAGTTGTATCTGCATACATGCTTATGAATTTACTTGTTCGATCTTTTTTTTTGTATTGAAGTATGGCAACTTTTGGTTAACTATAAATGAAGCAATGAAATTGTCTCCAGGTTGGACACTTGCCGACATAGATTAATTTTACGGCTTAATATCACTGGGTATACTATGTTTATGATATTACAGCCATTCCGATAACTGCTTCATCTTTTCATAAATAAGATACTTATTTCCTGAGTTTAAAGTAACTGGTGACAAAGATACCAGAATCTAATTTGACTAGAAATCAGCTTGCTAAAACAAGTGATATAATGAATGTGCTGTGGGCTTCATTCGTACTGGTGTGCATAATCTTTAATCACCTTAAAAAATATGAGCAATGAGTAGAGAGTAAAACACTAAGCAAGAGTCTTTGGTTGGGCTGCCATTCTTCAGCCTTGGAAATGAGATCAAAGAGGGTGTCAGGAAAGAAAATAAATTAATCTTCTCTGCCCCTTCAAATGTTCCATTCATCTTTTATTACTTGGTAGTAAGGAGGAATAGAAATCCTTGATTAATTGGTTAATTAGAAAGATTTAGATGAAGTATTTTGTCAATATGTAAATATATTTTGGAGAGCAAGAGATTGTTTCCGTTCTTGTTTGAAATGGGATGGTTGAGATAGCCATAGCCATTCTGTAAATCTGCAGGTAATCAACTGCAAGAGAATTAAACCCACAAATTCAATAATGTTTATCATTCCTCTTTAAAATTATTTTTCAGCTTAGACATTTACTGGAGTAATTCTGAGCCCCAACTTTTCTTCTATTTAGTCTTACTGTATCTGCTACCATTAAAATCACACAGAAGAGCACTCGTACAGCAGAAGATCCTCTTCTCTTCACAGTAGATCATAAGAGGTCTTTTACCTACCTACATGTGTTTGCACAGGGCTGGTAA